CTGGGATGTGCTGGGCTGAGGGAGGCCAGGCCTGAGGCCCTGAGAGTTTCCTGTGCTGGGTTCAACTCTCAATGAACCCTCCTGTTTTACACTGGCTGAGAGTCACTCCGGTCTAGAGAACAGGGTGGCATCAACCCCTTTGGGGGTGGAGGCCCCAGGGGTCCAGAGCGAGAGGACTCCCTGAGGGGGCCCACGGCAGAGACAGATGTGCTAAGGCTCAGAGAGGTGCGGCTCCAGGAGGTGGAGGGGCCTGACCCCGAAGGAGAGTGGACCCCCGAGAAGGGCTGTCTCACTGAAAGGGGCACCCCCCACGGACCGCACGGGGCCAAGAGTGGGCACGATCTGTGAGTCCGTGACAATCTCACAGGACCCATCTTGTGTAAAATACATCGTAGCTATGCCATAACATATCATACTAATAGGACGATGAGGAATAGGGGCGTCATGCCGCACACTGGCCCTGCCTGGGGGTAGGGCAGCAGCCCCAGATTACAGAGGGGAGCTGTGGCCCAGAGACGCTGAGTGACTCGCCTGGGGGCGGTGGGGGAGCTGCTCCTTAACTGCCAGGCCGACCTTCCTCCCTGTGTTTTGCCCCCCAGGGCCATGCTTCAGCCCAGCACCGCCCTCCGCCCAGCCTGCGGCTGCTCTGAGAATGGTGCGTTGGGCCCTGGGGCCTGGCCAGCGTCCGGGACCCCCCTGAGCATGCTGCCAAGGAATGCGGTGCAGCAATCTCCCTGCCATGGACGGGGTCACTCCCCCCTGCACCCTCCCAGCCTGGGTTCGAAGAGCCGCTGAGCCGGGGCCGGGGTCACACACAGCGAGGGCAGCATTGGCGGCCAGTCTGGCTGGGAACTGCAGGGCCCTTGTACTAGGGTGTGTTCAGCGGGGCCCGGGGAGCCTGTTGCTGAGGGCCCAGGGGGCGAGGGCATTTGTGCAGCAGAGGCGCTGGTGGTCAAGGAAAGATGCTGTGTCCCGTGTCCTCCTCCCCAGGGAGCCGGGGGCCCCCCACAGCTGCTCTGGGGTCCCGTCCCCCCCCAGGCAGGCAGTTAGTTCAGAGCTCTTAGGACAGCGATTCGCCTCCCAGAGCCACAGGACGGGCATGAGCTGTCCCATTGCATCAGAGAGCAAAGTCCGTTTCCCTCCTGCTCTATCGAAGCGGCGGGTTCCTGGGAGGGACGCGGGGCTGGGCGGCCTGGCTGGGCTCAGAGAGGAGTTTCATACCCAGCGTCACCGTTACATTTTAACCAGAATGGCAGGGCTCTGCAGCCCAGGCGCAGGCGGGTCCGAAGGGCAGGGAGGGAACGCTGCACTTGTTAACCCGCCACCCGAGCTGCAGGAGGGCAAACAAGGGGCAGTGACCCAGCGACAGGAAATAACAGAGGCAAAGAGCATGTGGCCAGCGAATGTGTGCACAAGCATCTGGGAACAAGTGAGCGTGCACGCGTGTGTGTGCAAGCGTGTGGGTGTGAGCACGCTTGGTGGGATCCTGGGGGTTGGGCTACAGACAGGAAGGAGTGCAGCGCCGGGCAGTCACATGGGAGCGGGAGTCGGAACAGAGGTGACTCAGTGGGAGGGCAGCTCTCCTGTGCCAGGGGTCACACATAGGGGACGGCAGCGCTCCTGCCCTGGGGGGGG